CAAACAAATCAGAATTTCGGCTTCCTGAACTGCCCTGGCAGCTCTCTTGCCATTCTTGCGGGGGGAAATCACAGCTGCCCAATACTGCCCTCTACTGGGGATGCCAGTGTTTGCATGAAGAAGCAGCAATAAAAGGTTTAGGGGTGTGTGTTGGGGGGGGTGTATTATGGCCCCTTTGTGGCTTCCGGGACTTCAACTCTTTTATTTTTCCCTTCTTGCAAAATATTTTGACCCTGGGATGGCCCACCCATCAGTGGTGAAATCCAATTTTTTTTTACTACCGGTTCTGTGGGCGTGGCTTGGTGGGTGTGGTGTGGATTGGTGGGCGTGGCAGGGGAAAGATACTGCAAAATCTCCATTCCCACCCCACTCTGGGGCCAGCCAGAGGTGGTATTTGCCGGTTCTCCAAACTACTCAAAATTTCCGCTACCGGTTCTCCAGAACCTGTTGGATTTCACCCCTGCCACCCATGAACTAACCTGTTCCTAACCTGCTTTGCTTCCCAAAATTAGTCAATGCCAGCTGCAACCAGGAGTTGACACACCTAGATTTTTTGGTAACCTGGGTTTATTTGGTTTTGATGATTGTCTGCAGAGCCTGGTAGCGCAGTGGACTAAAGCACTGTTATTAACATCTGCTGCCTGCAATTACTGCAGGTTCGAATCTTACCAGGCTCAAGGTCGACTCAGCCTTCCATCCTTTCAAAGGTAGGTAAAATGAGGACCCAGTTTGTGGGGGCAATAAGCTGACTTTGTATAAATATACAAAAGGATGAAGGCTATTGCTTAACGCACTGTAAGCCGCTCTGAGTCTCCGGAGAAGGGCGGCATATAAATCAAATAAAAAAAAAATATCTGGTCTGTTTTTAACTCAAGATTACAGAATCGAGGAATTGTATGCTGCTCAGAGTCGGTTTAACTTCATAAACCTTTAAAATCAAGTCAATACAGGTAGTCCTCGCCCTTATGATGACAACGGAGCCCAAAATTTCTGTTGTTAGATGAGACATTTGTTAAGTGAGTTTCGCCCCCATTTTACCAACTTTCTTGCCAGAGTCGTCAGGTGAATCACTGCAGTTGTTAAATTAGTAGCCTGGTTGTTAAGTGAATCTGACTTTGCTGGTCAGATCACGTGACCCTGGAACGCTGCGACTGTCATAAATACGAGTCAGTTGCCAAAGCGTTCGAATTTTGATAACGTGCCCGCGGGGACGCTGCCACGGTCGTAAGTGTGAAAAACGGTCATAAGACACTTTTTTCAATGCCGTTGTAACTTCAAACGGTCACTAAATGAACTGTTGTAAGTCAAGGACTACCTATATATGTGTGCATTCATACTCAGGAGCAAAATGTCAACAAAAGGACATTTTGGAAACAGGAAAAACTCTCTCTCAAAAAAAAGAAGACTTAACAGGAGCTTTCTGTCATCTTCTTGAACTTTTGCCCAGGAAGAGGGGAAGGGAGACAGGATGTCCTGGCCGAGTTTTTCCCTTTCAAATCACCAGGAAAACGTCCAAAGGAAATAGATCGGATTCTCTATTTTCTCAGCGGGGCCTGCAGTGACAACTTGGGGTTGCTCTCGGAATCAACCACCGTCCGATTTTTTTTCCACAAAGTTGCTGTGGTTCGCTCATGCCAAGCTGGAAATCTTCATTTTCTCAAAATGCACCTTTCGAAGGCTCTTGGGTTAAGCCAGGGGTGTTTTTTCGTTGTCAGAATACAGCTGGAAGGGACCTCGGAGGTCTTCTAGTCCAACCCCCTGCTCAAGCAAGGAGACGTATACATACCGTTTCCGACAACTGGCTGTCCAGTCTCTTCTTAAAGAGCCTCCAGTGATGGAGCACCCACAACTTCTGGTGGCCAGCTGTTCCACTGGTTAATTGTTCTCAGTGTCAGGAAATTTCTCCTTAATTTCAGGTTGCTTCTCTCCTTCATTAATTTCCATCCGTTGTTTCTTGTCCTGCCTGCAGGTGCTTTGGAGAACAGGTTGACCCCCAACTCCTCTTTGGGGCAGCCCCTCAAATACTGGAAGCTGCTATCATGTCCCCCCAAGTCCTTTTTTTCTCTAGACAAGCCAAACCCAAATCCTGCAACTCTTCGTATGTTTTAGCCTCCAGGCCTTTAATCATCTTAGTTGCTCTTCTCTGCACTTTTTCCAAAGTCTCAACATCTTTTTTTTTATAACGTGGTGACCATTGGTTGCAGAATATTCAGATGTGGCCTTACTAAAGTTTTATAAAGCGGTGCTAATACTTCACCTGATTTTGATTCTATGCCTCTGTTTATACAACCAAGGATTGCATTGGCCTTTTTGGCAGCTGCCGCACAGGGCTGGCTCGTGTTTAAGGGATCATCCACCAGGACTCCAAGGTCCATCTCACCGTCACTGTGAGGTCCTCACAGGTCTTCAAATGTCCAAGGTTGGACACCCCTAGGCTAGGCGATGGGGAATTCTAGGTTGCCTTGTACCCCCAGAACTGCAGGAATCTCTCCAAACACCATTTTGGAAACGAGCCAGAAGAAGCTGCAACTTTGGGAGAGTCCAACTGTCTTCAAAACGACCTTCCAGATGAAGCTGGTTGGCCAACAAATCCACCTTTGCAAACTTCTGGAGATCTTGAAACAGCTGCCGAATCTTATGAACTGAATTCCGAGGGAGGAATCTATCAGTAGACCGACCTCACTTCCAGGCAGCATCCGTAAGTCCTCAACTTGGAATGGTGTGGTGGCCTAGAGGTGGAGCTCTGGCCTCACAATCAGGGGGATGTTGAGTTCGATCCTAGGTAGAGGCAGATATTTCTCTCTCTCTCTGGGCACAATGAGAATATATCTGCCGAACAAAACTCAGCATTGGCGACAGGAAAGGCATCCGGCCATTGAAACAGTCTGATAGCTCCATTCAGATGCCCAGATTCCACCCCGCAAAGGGTTTTTGGGTCGTTAAAAGATGATAGGTAAGTCCTCAATTTACAACAGGTCCTTTAGTGACCAAAGTTACAACAGTACTGAAAAAAAGCCTCAACCGTTTCTCACACTTACAGCCATCGCAGCGTCCCCATTGTCACGTCATCAAAATTCGGAGGCTTGGCAACTGACTCGCATTTATGACGGTTGCCATGTCGTGGGGTAAGGTGACCCCCTTTTGTGACCTTCTGACCAGCGAAGTCAATGGGGAAGGCATGTTCGTTCAGCATCTGTGTGATTCACTTAAGGAGGTCGTTAAATGGGGCAGAACTCACTTATCAACTTGCTTGGAAATTTTTGGGCTTGGATGTGGTCGTAAGTCGAGGACTACCTGCAACCATAAGCTTGCGAAGCTCTTTCCATCACCCACCCAGCACCAAATCTTGCAGAGACGTAAGGTGGAATTTTAGCCGGTCAGTTCCAAGCATGGGCAGGGTGGAGGGGGATGCATTTCCCATAATGCTGGGTAAGGAGTGACGGGCACATGGGATGGGTGGTGGGTAAGGCACCCTCAGTTGTCTCGTCCAGCATGCTGACCTCACTTCCTGTCTTGCAGATGGCTTTGTTCTCACCTCATGGACCACCAGAGACCATCTCTGGCATGGTTGGGTCTCCAAAGCAATCCTGGCCCAGTCTGATCCCGGATAGCAAAGATGGCTACCGTGTCTCCCTGAATATAAGAGCAGGTCTTATATTAATTTTTGCTCCATAAGATGCATTAGGGCTTATTTTCTGGTTAGGTCTTATTGGGGGGTGGAAATATGGTTCTAAATGCACAGCTGAGTCCCAATTAGTTGCAAAAAGTCCTTCGGGATAATCATCCACCTTTTATCTCCTTTGACACTCTGTCAAATACCTACTTGGCAAAGACCCACTGAGTCCAGAATCAAACAGAGATGCCGACTGGGAACAGAATTAACAACGTTGCTTTCCTGCAAAGGGCCCACATGCCTTTGCTCCTCTTTTAAGCCTTATGGGAGGGGCCAATCATCTCCAGGCCCTACTCCCAAGTCGTCCCTTTTGTCCCTTCTGGCAGCTCTGCGCATGGGCGCACTGGGAACAGGCTCCTCCTGTTCCTCTGCCTCTCTGATGTCCGACTCTCGAGTCTCCGGAGTCCGCGCATCACTCCCAGATAGCCCTGGCCCCATCTCTCCCTCCGACGCAGAGCCCTCATCTGAGCCTTCCCCAGACTCCAGGACTGGCCCATGTTCCTCCCCAGCCTCCTCACTGTCCGACTCCATTGCCAGCTCCGCAGGCTGCTGGTGGACCACAACAATCTTAACTGGGGCTTATTTTGGGGTAGGGCTTATATTACGAGCATGCTGAAAAATCATGCTAGGGCTTATTTTCCAGTTGGGTCTTATTTTTGGGGAAACAGGGTACTTATTAACTGCAAGGTGTGGGTAGACCCTCATATCTTAACCATGTCTGACATGGAAGCCGTGTCTGTTGAGGGCATCCAAGAAGACTCTGTTTTGCTGCTGGATTTAGCTGGAGCTCTTCAGCATCCAAAATGGGCAAATGGACATTAATAGGTCCGGCTGGTAAATATCTTTATCCCAAAGGTGCTTTTTCCAAAAAGGCAACTGGATTTTTTTTTCCCCCTTAAAAACTTTTCCCTTTTCATTTTCAGTTCTTCTGAAGTCCAGTTCTGAAAGTCCTCCCCGGCCCCCGAAAATGTTTCGCTTTTCATCCAAGAAGTGTCTTTAGTTGATGGCCAAAGGATGGCAAAGAATATAAATCCTTCCATTCCCCACTATTCATTTAGAACTGAAGAAGCTTCCTAGATGAGAAGCGAAACGTTTTCAAGGGGGAAAAAAAAACCCAGTTGCCTTTTGGAAAAGCATCTTTTGAGACAACCAGGACCTGGATTTCGGAAAGCCTGCAAAGACATCTGTCCTCTTTTTTAGACCAGTTTCTCAACGTAAGAGGTAGGGAGGTAAATCTGGGGGAAAAAAATATGCTTGCTGGTTGAGAGACTCACCTTCGGAGGAAAGGAGAAAGAAACCGACGATGAAGAAAAACAACCAAACCATGGAAACTTAATTTTTTTTTTTAATCAACAATTTTACATTATGTAGCATCTCTCTTTTAATTTATTTGTTCTACACACATCTCTGCCCACTGGGATTTATTTTATTTTTTCTTCATTAAAATAGATATTAAAAAAAAAACGGTTAAGCACTGAAGCGCTATCGTGGAGGAGAATTCAGAACGAAGGAGGAAGGGAAAAAAAGGGAAAAGGGGGCTTTGGCTCTCCCCGGTCCTGGGTTGGAGGAAACGCCCTGCAGGGCTGCAACTCCGGCAGGCTTGCCCCACACCTGGGGGTCCTGGTGGACAGAAGAGTCAATCAAGCTTTGGTGCGTGGGGAGGGACTAAAAACGCCGCGAATCCCAGCCCCACAGAGGCGAGGGCTCTGGGTCCTGCACTGAAAACCTGGCCTCCTGTCTTGCCCCTCCACAATCCATTTTTGCTACCTTGAGAAGCGCAATGTGTTTCTGCAGCTAGAAAAAAAAAAATGCAGAACACATGCAAAGAAGCATTTTTCCCTGCATCTCTCCGTGCCAGGAAGAGTCCCTTCGTTTGCCGACCCCGATGCCCCCTTCGTCCCTCCCGAATTTGGTACCGAAGCAAGCACGTCTGTTTTCCGCCACAAACCCACCCACCCCAAAGGAAAGAGATGTTTGCCAGCAGCAGCCAAACCTCACACGCATTACTTGCAACGAAAGGCGGCTTGAGTCTGTGCAGCCGGTCACAGGGGGAAAAGAGGCTGCATGCTCTTTGAGAGTAGCTAGAAATAAATCCTGCGTCCTGCCACCCAGGTGAGGAAAATCGGGGCGCGCTTGAAAGCCCCAAAGAAGGGTGCAGATTCCACGCATCTCAAGGGGGGGGGGGTGGGGGGTGTCTGGCAGGAGGGATGGGAGCACCCCCAAAACAAACCGAGGCCGCAAGTGAGAGATCCAATCCCTGGATCTCAAAGCGTTGGACCCAAAGGGCAGATTGAGTGCTATTCCAGAGAGAGAAAAATAGGGAGGTGAAATTAAGCTTCTTAAAGCCCACCCCCCAAAAGCCACATCTGGAGAATTAGGTGCATTTTGAGTGAGGGGGGGGGTGGACCAAGAGAAAAAGGCCAGGAACTCAAGACAGGCCCTTGTGAGAAAGAAGTTTACTCCATGCATCAGTGTTAAGGGTGTCGTTTGCATGCACACAACCTTGCAAAAGGACGTTTTACTCGCTCCTTCACACAAGCCAGGGGTGTCCACAATCTCAGCCATTTTAAGCCCCGTGGACTCCAACTCCCAGAATTCCCCAGCCAGCCATTTTTTTTAATTTACATGATGGACCATCTCTCTCTCTCTCTCTCTTTCGTGCCGTCTGGGGAATTCTTTGGAGTTGGAAGTGGCCGAAGGTTGCATTAAACTTGGCACAAACCAAGCCAAACTCGTCAGGATTTGAACTCGGCGCGCAGGAAAAAAAAAATCAGACCCATTTATAACCAGCCTACCCTTTAAAAGAGGAGCGAAGGGGTGAAAGAAGCACAGAAAAAAAAAGAGGGGGGGAGAGCCCAGGCCTGGGGGTCTTTGAGGGAGCCGTGTTGGGTGTGCAAAATTGGCTTCAACAGCGTCCCCGAAACACACTCAGGAGAGAGACACAAAAAGCATCAGCAACCGTTCTCGGAAAGGGGGGGGGGAAAGAGACACACAAAAAGGTGGCCTCCGTTTTTGATTTGACTTAACGTGGCACACAAAACACAACACAAGCCTTGATTGGGCAATGGGCTTCCTAGAAAGGCTGGCACTTTTCATAAACGGGCACACGGATTGACGGACAGTTCTGTTCACGGAAATCCAATGCTTTTTTTGAATGTGTTTTGAGACCCCCGAGGGCTTCCCCCCACTCGGCCAAAGGAGCTTCTGGGAAACTCCAGGGTGCCAATCCGTTAAAAATGATGCCCGAAACCCCCACCACGTCCCAAGTGGCACCGGGAATCGAGAGATGCCAGCATGTTTTGAGCTCCTCCTTCGTATGCATGTGGAAAAGGAGGATTGCCGCGATCATAAAATGGGCTGCCTCGATTCCCTGCGCTAAATCTTTAGTTTAAAATGCTAGATGGATTTCCTCTCCCTTAAAAATACAGGCAGGGAAAAGCAAATTAATAAGCTATGTTAGGGAGGCATTGGTCCCAGTCAACAGCTAGAGCAGGAATGGGCAACGATGCCAACTTTACAACGGGCGGACTTCAATTCCCAGAATTCCTGAGCCAGCCAGCATGGCTGGCTCAGGAATTCTGGGAATTGAAGTCCGCCCGTTGTAAAGTTGGCATCGTTGCCAAGCCCTGAGTTAGGGACTAGAGGGTGGCAGTGCCAATACAGGCAGTCCTCAACTTATGACCGCAATTCAGGCCCAAATTTATGTCATTAAGCGAGACCTTTGTTAAGGGAGTCACACCCCGTTTGACGACCTTTCTGGCCACTGTTGTTAAGCGAGTCACTGACACCAGTTGTTAAACTGGTAACCTGCAGTTGTTAAGCGAAATCTGGCTCCCTTGACTTTGCTCATCAGAAGGTCACAAAAGAGGATCACGTGACCCCAGGGGACACAGCAACCGTCGTAAGTACGAGTCGGTTGCCAAGCGTCAAGGATTTTGATCACATGACTGCGGGGACGCCGCAAGTGGTCGTACCTGTGAAACATGGGTCATTATCCGGTGCCGTTGTAACTTTGAACGGTCACTAAAAGAAGTCGAGGTCTAGCTGTATAAATGAAGGGGGCCAGGCTGTTATGCGAGCTGGGGAATTCTGGGAGTTAAAGTCCACAAGTCTTAAAAGTTTCTGAGGGTTGGAGACCCCTGCTTTACAGGACAAAAAATAATAATAATATTGCACACATCCTCAAATTGTTTTCCGTTAAGAGTGGACCAAAGTCCCACCCTTAAAGAGCACCAGAAGCTGGTAACAGGTTTCGAATCGTGGCCTCGGGCGCCGGCAAGTTCCCAGCAAACCTGCAGGCGAGCCCCCCCACCCCCTCCCCAAAAGGTACAGACCCCCCCACCCCACTCCCTGTCATCCCCACGTCTGCCCCGGTTTGGTTTATGCTACAGTACTAATACTCTTGAGCAAAAAAAGAAAATATATATATATTTTTATATATATATATGTATACTTCTATACATTATTTTCATGTGCCACCGTCATTCACAGCTCCACTGAATTGCTCTTCCGTCCCCCCCCGCCCCAATTATTTAAAACAAAATCCAACTGAGAAGAGGAAAAGGTTTAAAAGAAGAGTTTCTGTTTAATAAGCGGCCAAGGCTTTGGCTAAAGGATTTTCCAAAAGAAAAAAAAAAACCCCAATAATAGTAATAATAATAGAGGAAAGTTTAAAAACAAGGGACCTTTACGCATAAGGGAGGGGTAAAGAGTATTTCGTCCATAATCAAGAAGGAACAGATCAGAAAAAGCCCCCCCCTCCCCCAGTCTTAATACGGGATAATAATTAAGATCTATTTGAGGAACGGGAAAAACAGGTATGATTTTTCAGGCAGGGAAAGGACCAGAGTTGGGTCCGCCATGATGCAAAAATGAAAGGACCACCTACTCAACTGAATCCTGGGGTGGGGTGGGGGGGGGGCAGCAGGAGAGTGGGGGGCAGGACGCAGGGCGAGAAGTAATAAGATCAGCAGTTAAATCCTAGCAAAATAAAAGCATTTTCCCATTTTCAGAGAGGCGTTAAAAGGCGCAAAGCCCGAAAGTTTCAAACAGTGGCAGACCCTCCCCACACTTGAGAGATCAAGAAACCCCACCCACCCAGAAAGAGCTTCATGGGATCCAAATGTGTACCCCCCCAGGCCTCCCCCCCCACAACTACTGTAGTGTCCTGCCACATCTGGGGATTGTCTTGTGAAATCCTGACTGGGGGTTGGGGGGAGAACAGTTTCTAATTCAAGACCACCCCCCAAAGACCTGGCTGCAGCTGTGGATGCACCCAAGCCCACCCCTCACCCCCAAACCCTGCCTGCTCCATAACCCGAAGTATTTTTATTTATTTATTTATTTATTTTAAAAAAACTGATTTTGGTGCCAGCCACCCCAACTTCGCCCTTCTGCTTTCGCAAGGGAACAAGAACGGGTCAGAACAATAGAGGCCATAAAATGGAAATCCGGAGACCCTCCTCAGAAGACCCCTCCCTCCAAGAGGGGTAGGGCGGGAGCGGTCCAGAGTTACCACCATAGTGAGAAAGCAGGCTGGAAAGTGGGTGAGTGAGAGGGAGACACCCCCCCCCAGAAGGGAGGGAGGGAGGGAGATAAATTAACTTCCATACCAGTTGCCACATGCATCGGTGTGTGTGTCTCCTCACATTCAAGGCAATGCACACCGTTAGCAAAAAAATAATAATAATAAAAATGCTTTGAACCCCCTGCTAAAGAATCGCCAGCCAAACTCATAATAGATCCAGGTATTTTTTTTTGGCCTGATCCCGGGGGAATCCCGGCGTTAAAAAGGATGGAAGGAGCCCCCACCGAGTGCATTCGTACTCTCGCTCTCGCCACACAGACAGACACTCATACCCCAACCCTGGATACCGTATTTAAAAAAAAACAAAAGTCCCTTCCTCACCCCCACCCCACCAACCACGGTCGAGGGTTTCGAAGGGTGGACGTATCTTCGCGAAAACATCGCCCCCACCGCACCCCAAAAGGGAAACCCGCTAATTTGGCAAATGTCTGAATTTCCACTTTTTTCTTTTTCCTTCCTTTTTTTCGCCAGGGTGGTGGGAAGACGCGAAGATCCAGGATGAATTCCTTCTCCCCCCCCAGTGAAAAAAAGCGGGGTGCGGAAGCGTTTCCTCCTGGTTAGTGTGTGACCAATGATTGCGAAGGCCCCCCGAAAACACGACGACAAAAAACCTGACACGCTTCTGCTCGCGATGCTCAAGAGCTACGGGACAAGCTAAGTCTCTACCCACATCTGGTTTCATTTTAACAGGAGGGAGGAAAAACAAAAAGGAAAATAAAATAAAAATGAAACAGGCGGTGGGGAGGGGAGAGGAAAAAAACCGAGAAATGGGGAAAGGTCCGGACATTCGGAAGTGGGGGTTTAAATAATCACAGGGGAGTCTCTGCCAGCTTGGTAGAGAGTTTCGTCAAGCCCAGAATAGGGATTGTGTTATGCGGGTGTGCATCGGTATACACACGGACACACACGTGAAGGGATGTTCCTGCGGTTCGGATTCAGATGACCAGAGAGGCCCAGCGACCCCTTCGGGTATGGGCCACGGGGCTGGCCACGGGCCCAGCGGAAACCGTCGGCTGCTGTTCAGGTGCTGGGGGTGTCCAGGGCTTCGGTGTAAGTGATTATCCGTTTTGGGTCTGGAAAAGAAAGAACAGAGTCCGAGTGAACCGGACGTCCAGCATGTCACTCCTGCGGCCACCCTGAGCCCAGCATTAGTGAAGATCAGTGATGCCCCCAAACCCAACCGCAGTGATCAAGAGTCCCCTTGAAATTCTGCTTATATATAGCACCATAGATCAAACGAAGAGTACAATCACCATGTGCTTTACTGCTTAACTGTTTTAATTGTCATAGGAAATTCTACTTAAAACGAAAGGGCATAGAATACATACCAGTGGTGTCAAACTCAAGGCCTGGCAGGCTGGATCCAGTCTGCGGGGTGCTCAGATCTGGCCTGTGAGGCCGTCCTGGAAACAGCAAATGAGCGGCCCATGGTGCCTCTGCCAGTGAAAATGGAGCTCGGGAGGCTCACGGGCGGCCCTCCCGAGCTCAGTTTTCGCTGGCAGAGGGTTGCAGGAAGCAGTCACAGCCAAAAACAGAGCTCGGGAGCCCGTTTTCGCTGGCAGAGCGCTTGGGACACCACAAGCTGGCCACGTCCACCCTGGCGCCCCCCAGGTCAAACACAACCCTGATGCGGCCCTCAATGAAATCGAGTTTGACACCCCAGTATATACCATAGATCCAAGCTTGTAAACACTGCCATCTACTGGCCGAATATTACTACTCTAGTTGTTGCACACAAATACATTCCAACAATGAATTCCAACACCATGCCATTTAAGACGGGGTCTCCCAAACCTTGCCACTTTTGAGACCTGTGGACTTCAACTCCCAGACAGCTGGCTGGGGACTTCTGGGAGTTGAAGTCCACAGGTCTCAAGTTTGGAGAGCCCCTGCCCTAAACCTCCTGCTGTCCTCCACTACAATAACAATGTGCCTTCTCCCTTTTAAGAGGACTAAAGTAGGGAAACCCCTGTAAACTCTTACCTCGCTTTTGCAAATTACAAATAGATTCCATTTCTGCAAGAAAAAAAATGGGGAGGGGGGGAGAAACTGGTTAGTATTGCAAAGACACATAAGCAGACTCTTATTAATTAGAATGTACAGGCAGTCCTTGCTTAACCACGGTAATTGGGACCGGAATTTCCATCACTAAGCGAGGCAGTCATAAAATATGACGTAGTGAATGTCTGGAAATATATATGTCAATGTATACTGAACTTGTGAGTGTGATATAGGTTTATTGGATATGGATATAGTTGTTTAGGAGGAATTATGTAGTATGCTTGACATGTAATGAAGAAAGATATATGTAAATTTGTGTATAGATTAAGGAATATGTTATTTATTAATTTGAATTAGACGGAAATGTTAGAAACCGGAGATGTCAAACCATGTCCACTGTTTGAATTATTTGAATTATTAATAAATTAATTGAATTATTAATAAAAAACGTAAAATAAAATAAAATAAAATATGAAGTCGTATGACCACATTATTTAGCAAAAGCAGTCCCCAAACTGCCATCAGGTAGTCCTCAACTTATGACCCCACTTGAGCCCATCGTTTCCATGGCTGAGCGAGATAGTCGTTAAGTGAGTTTGGCTCCGTTTTACCACCTTTCTTGCCACAGTAAATCGCTGCCCTTGTTCAGTTAGCGACCCGGTTCTTAAGTGAATCTGTCTTCCCCGTTAACTTTGCTGGTCGCAAAAGGGGATCACATCACCCTGGGATACGGCAACCCATCGTAAATACGAGTCAGTTGCCACAGGTGCTGAATTTTGATCACGTGACCACAGAGATGCTGCTGCTGCGACGGTCGTTAAGTGTGAAAAGGTCACAAGTTGCTTTTTTCCCCAATTCCATTGTAACTTCGAATGGTCGCTAAATGAACGGTTGTTAAGTCGAGCACTAGCTGCATTGCTGTTGTTAAGTGAGGACCGGGAGTTTTTACACAAGTCCCAAGAGGCTCGCAAGCCAGCCAGGTAGGCAGGATCTGCCACGTGGGCGTGGCGGGGCCAGAGGCGGGGCTGCTATCATGCGTGGGACACGTGCAAACTTTCCCTGTCGGTTTCCCCTTCCTGAGAAAGCGGCAAGAAAGGGGCAAGGCTCACATAACAACCGTCTCACTTATAGCAACAGAAATATCAGGGCTCCGTTGTGGTTGCGTAACAGTTGCCCCCCTCCCAGCTCCCGGTCTCCGAGGAGACCCAACGCCAGCCCTGGAGGGTAGAGCCTGTTAGGAAATGGCTATTGTCTAACTAGTTGGTCAGGCAATATATAAACTATCAATACATGTTTGTCAAAAGGCATTATATTGCTTTAAGGCTGTGTTGCATCATCCTGTATCCTGATTGGCTGAGCTCTCTAGCCAATGTATTTAAGGGGAAGCCTGAATCGTGGCTTGTGGACACTACACCATTTTATCTGCTTATTTGCTGTTACTCTCTACTTGGTCTCTCTGCATGATCACTTGTTTGATTATTGCAACTTGTTGCTTTCTACTATTTATTGACTGTTTTAATACTGAACTCGTTCCTGTTTGAAACTCAAGAAGAACTGTTTTTATTGTGTAATGACAACAACTGGTAAGAAGACTTTGTACTTGGAATATCCCTGAATTGATATTTTAACTATCGCCTTATCTGTGTATGACTTGGATTGTTATTGGACTTTGCTTTACTTTTTTCTAAAAAGTAAAAAGACTACCACAACTCAGTGTGTCAGTATATTAACTGTGGTTATTCACTCTCAGCCGCTTTCATGTGCATACTCAAGGGGTACTCGGCTCAATAACCCATAACATCGGTTATGAGCCAAGAATATCCTTAACAGGGCCCAAACCTTCCCCCAACCCCAAACCAGACTGGAGTTCTCCAGAAAACGCCAAGGCTGATGGGCAACGGAGTCCCTCCCAGCGGGGGGGGGGGGGGGGGGGAGAAAGCCCTGGAGACGTTACCTTGGATGTGATATAGAACAGCTGCCCGCAGGTCAAACTCCCCACAGCTGGCTTTCCGTTCTAGGCTGCCGGGGCGCTTCTGCTCTTTGGTGGAGACTAACAAAGTGTTCGTAGGTGAAGACAGGTGACTGTCTACGTGGTAGTCCTTGGCGAGGAACACAAAGGCTCCCGGGCCCCCCAACTCAGCCTGGGGCAGGACCCCAGGCAAATGAGGCTCTAACAGCAGGTCGCTCTCCTCCCCAGCGGCCCCCATCTTTAAGAGTCCGCCCAACAGCTGGGGACTAGTCCGTTTGGCCAGCTCGTAGGCCTTGGGGAAGGCCGGCTGTTCAGGTCCAGCGGAAGATGTCTCAGCCCCCTGAGGAACCGACATGGCGGGGCAAGGCCCCTGGAAAGTCACCTCGGCCACCTTGGTGTCCGTTGGCTTCCTGGGCGAAGTCTCCGGGCCCGCGTTGGGCTCGTTTATAAAGGATAACCCCCACTGGTTCTGGAAGATATCGCCTAGGTTTTGCTGCGTGGCCATGAATGGAGACTCGGCCTGGGCCGCCACGCTGAACAGGCCGTGCATGTTTGACGGGTAGATGAAAAGACTCGACTTCTGCGGGTCCATGGCGGCCGCAGAGTGACTGGCGTCCTGAGGTGCCAGTTTGGAAGAAGCCGAAAGGACAGTACTAGCAGCTGGCACCAGCAGGGCCTGGACCCCGGCTGGACACACCCCACGGTCAGCCCCGGCCAAGATGGGCCCGTTGGAAAAGCTGCCCGATGTAACAGACTTCATGGCGGACATGGGGACCTGGGAGAGGCGGTTGGAGGTCTGGACCTGGACCTCGCCCGCAGAAGACGAACACAAGGAGGAGGAGGAGGAAGAAGAGGAGGAGGAGGACAGAGAAGGAGCCGCCTTGTTGAGGTTCTCTTTCACTTTGCTTGCATAACTGATTTTGGGAACGATCTTCGCGCTGCTGTTATCCACGGGGAAAACCGGGGGCGGCTTAAACAGGGTCCAAGAATCTTCCTTTGAGGACGACACCAAGACGTGCTTCCCCTTGGGACGCTCCTCAAACTTTTTGCCAGCCTGTCCGACTTTGGCCTCTGCTGCCTTCCGGAGCATGTCCCCAACTCCGCTTGGCTTCCCGCGGCCCACCCCCAGCCCGCCCGGCTGCTCACACTTCCAAGCGGGTTTCAGGCCGTCCGGCCGAGTGTCGGCCTTCAGGTCCCCTCCGTCAGCCCTGAAGGGGTCCGTCTCCACCTTCAAGGCCGGGACGGGGCTGCACGGCACGACCTTCTCTTGCCCGAGGCTCAGGTTCTCGCAGCCCTTGGCGCTGTTGCGGCGGCCTTTCCGCTTCTTGGGTGTGGTGTAGCCGCTCTCCGAGCCGCTGCCGTCGTTGTCCGCCCCTTTGCCGATACAGCCGTTGGCGAGGTACTCAGAGCCGTCGGCCACGATGCCGTTGGGGACGGGGTGCATCTCGGTTTTGTCCCAGGACTGACCGTCTCTGGCTCGGCTCTCGTGGCATCGCTCGTTCTTCCTGTCCAGGCTGTTTTTCAAGCTGAAGGTCTTCGTTTTCAGACCAGCTTTGACAAACATGCCGCCTTTCCCCGTCTGCTTGAGAGCCAAGCCGAGCTCTCTGCCGGGCTGGCTGCCGTTGGGAACGACGGAAACGGGGCCAGACAAGTCACCGGCACCGGGAGACGTCAGGAAGGGGTCTCGGTCACCAACGGTTCCGTTGAGTTCGCCATAATCTGCAGAAAGGGAACAGGGGAAGATTAAAGGTCTCCAACACAATATCTTGCTTGAAGAAGGCATTCAAAAGACAACCCCCCCCCCAGAAGCATTTTCCCCTGGGTACGAGCCTGCTCTACCACTTTTTTGATGGCATTGCTCAGATTTGGCCCAGGTTGCATCAAGGACAGGCCGAGGAGAAGGAAGACTTCTGACAAGACTGGAAGGCTTTTCATTCGCCACGCGTTTCTCGTGCAAATGGGGGGCGGGCGATTCCGGAGGATGCAGATTATAAATTTCAAATAAAAATAACGATTCTGGGCAGGGTGGATTTGATTTAAATCAAGTCGATTTAAATCACGATTTAAATCATGATTTAAATCACTAGTAAAAAGGCATGATTTAAATCAACTCGATTTAAATCATAATTTTTAAAGAGCAACTGCCATCTCTGTCCCTCAGCAGCTCCTCCTGTGACCTGCTGTTGACTCACCGAGAGTCCCAATATTGCAGAATATACAGCCTCATGCTACATACCTAAGCTCCATTTCACGCTGAATAAACTAAATTATAAATTATATCTAAAGAAACTATCTTTAGATAGATTTTTTACTCCAAAAGCATTTTATTAAAATGAATTTGATAAAAATAAAAAAAATCCGATTTAAATAAAAAAAAATCCGATTTAAATCAAAAAAATCTGATTTTTTTGATTTTTTAAAAAAAATCATTGATTTTTATCCACCCTGATTCTGGGCCCCTAACAGCATTCGGGAACCCAGAATCCTCAGATTCGCAGACCTGAGAGGACGCTGGAGGAAACTGGGGGTACAGAGACAAAATTGTACCCCGAAGGAGAAATATGATCCCGGTGAGGACAGCTACGGACAATGAGAAAAGGCACGCCTGTTTCTAGGAACGGCAGACAAGTTGTAACACTTCATTTAGTGGCCGTTCGAAGTTATAACAGACCTGGGAAAAGTGGCTCCTTTTCACACTTACAACCGCCGCGGTTCTGGGATCGAAATTCAGGCGTTTGGCTGGCAACTGACTCATATATATGACGGTTGCACTGTCCCGGGGTGATGTGATTCCCTCTTTGCGAGCTTCTGACAAGTAACGTCGATGGCGAACCCAGATTCACTTAACAACGGTGTGACTAACTGAACGATTGCAATGATTCACTTAGCATCCGTGGCAAGACAGGTCAAATGGGGCAAAACTCGGTTAACAACAACTGTCTTGCTTAGCAACAGAAAAAAAATTGGGTTCAAATTGGGGCCATAAATCGAGGATTAACTGTAATAGGCAGGCCAAAACCACCTTTGAACTCAAAAGCTTTGGAAACGTGCCTGGGCTAGGAGAGGCGTCTCCATTTAGCAAAGAGTCTGCACCCCACATTGAACAGAGCCCAAAATCTACCCCTGGTTCTTCAGCTCTAGGAAAATGGGACTTTGCACCATCTCAGCCCGCAGCCTGGATGAAGCTTCTCCAGCCAACATGGGGTAGACCCAAAGAGCAACAGGTTGGAGTCCTTCCATTCACCACTGTCCAGTCAGAGCCGAAGAAGCTTCTTGGATGAGAAGTGAAATGTCTTCAAAGAAAAAACAGAAAGTCCAGTTGCCTTCTGAAAAAGCACCTTTGGGGCAAACATGGATGATGGAGAATCTCTACAGACTTTTAGCTATACAATTTGGGATGAAGACCCTTGGAATGGGGTGGGAGTAGGAATGGATTTCCAGAGGAAAAAAAATTCAGACTACAGGAACCATTTGCACCACTTAGGTGGCCCTGAGGACACAGAGAAACCCCCAAGTGGCCTCAACGACCCTCTAAAACAGTGTTTCTCAACCTTGGAAGCTTGAAGATGGGTGGACTTCAACTCCCAGAATCCCCCAGCCAGCGCTGCTGGCTGGGGGATTCTGGGAGTTGAAGTCCACCCATCTTCAAGCTTCCAAGGTTGAGAAACACTGCTCTAAAAGGATGCCAATGACCAGCTATCTGCAAGGAGTATCAATCCTTCCCTTCCCCACCATTCGGTCAGAGCTAAAGAAGCTTCTTGGATGAGAAGCGAAACATCCTCAGAGAAAAAAACCAGAAAAGTCCAGTTGCCTCCTGAAAAAAAGCACCTTTGGGACTGGAGAAGCTGAACTGCGGGAAGACAAACCAGCTGAGATCAAGAGAAGGAGAAAGAATAAACCACGATTTGGAAGGTGGCTTAAGGCCTTGGACTGATTCCCCAAATCGCCTGGGCTGAGTTTCTGCAACCTTATAAGGCAGGCAGGGGAAAAAAAAAACTTGTTCTCAGTTTAGGAAATTTAATTCAGGTCATTCTTGACTTACAACTGTAACCGGGACCTAAATTTCTGTTTCTAAGCAAGACAGGGGGTTGAATGAATCGCATTCGATTTTGCTACCTTTTTTTTTTTTTTGGCACGGCCGTTAAGTGGCTCATGCGGTTGTTAAGTGAATCTGGCTTTCTTCCCTGGGAAGGTCACAAATGGCGATCATATGACATCACCCAACCCCCCCCCCCGGGACGGTGCAAAAATCCTAAATACTATCAGTTGCCAAGCGCCCGAATTTTGATCTTATGACCACAGGGAGGCTGAAAACGGTCATAAGTGCAAGAACTGGGTTTTTTCACTCAGTGCGGTTGCAACTTTGGTGGTCGCTAAACAAACCATTGTAAATCAAGGACCATGGTACCTGTCTCTCTCTTGGGCGCTCTGGGCATCGCCCACAAGTAAATAAGAAGAAAGCAGCAATCAAAATACTATACAGATAGTCCTTGAGTTATAACAATTTGCTTAGTGACCATTCAAAATTACAATGGCACTGGGAAAAAGGGTGCTTTTTCACACTTACGACCGTTGTGGCATCCCCCTGGTCACGTGATTTACATTCAGATGCTTGGCAACTGATTCACGTTTATGACGGTTGCGGGATCACGTGATTCCCCCTTTGCGACTTTCCGACAAGCAGGAAGCCGGATTCATTTAACAACCGGGTTACTAACCTGACAAGAAAGGTCGCAAAATGGGGCAAAGCTCACTTAACAAATTTCTCACTTAGCCGCCTAAATTTTGGGCTCCACTGTGGACGTACGTTGAGGACTACCTGTACTTAAAAACCAAACCTTTAAGAACGTGGTCAAAACCGTCGAATACAATAATAAAACAAGAGCCACAAAAAAGCTTACATCTCCAGCCCTGAAAACAATCCAAGAATTTCAACACTGCTGCTGGCTGCAGGAAAACAACATTTACCGTCATTTGCACAATTCACTGCTTATCTGTCAGATTTTTTTTTTTTTTAAAAAAAATGGGTCTCCTTCATTTTTTAACGTGAAACTTTTCTGAAGTCAGTAATCGGGATGCTGTGACAGTCGTAAGTATGAGGACCGGTCCTAAAAAGTTGTGAAACGAACGGTTCTAAGCCGAGAACGACCTGTCATGTATTGTGAGCCGCCCTGAGTCTTCGGAGAGGGGCGGCATATAAATTAAATTATTAAATTAAATTAAATTAAATTAAATTAAATTAAATTAAATGTTATGGCTTCTGTCCAGTTCAAATTCTCGCAAACAGAACCGTTTATCTCGTTTCAAGAGCCACCTGGATTTTTTTTTCTCCCCCTTATAGTTTGGGGAGGGGCATTTGAGGGGATGTTTTTATGGTTCGGACGTGACTTGTAAGTCGTGAAGTCATGCGCAACTTTCATCACGAAGCTCCCAGGAGGAGTTTCTGGATTGCGAGCTGTAAAAAAAAAATTATTTTGGAGAAGGATGAAATCAGTTCTGCTGACTATAAGGTGAGCTCCGCATGGCTGGGGAATTCTGGGAATTGAAGTCCGCCTGTTTTAAAAACCTGCAAAGCCTGAGAAGCCCCCACCCCCCAACTTCTTTCAGAGTTTAGAAGCTGTACCATGTAAGCCTGGCAAATGAATGAATGAATGAATGAATGAATAAATACACCATCATTGTCTCCTCTTCTAGAGAGCCTGGGCTACAAAGTCCATCAGCCTCAACTGCCAGGCTGGCAAAGGATGATGAGAGCGGGAGTCTCAATGCTTCCCCAGGTCAAGAAACATCTCTTTGACTAAGGCCATAAAACATCATTGTGGGTACCAATAGAAGAGAATCTATGCAACTCGGGGTTGAATTGAGGCGTCCTTTGGGTGGTTTTCTTGCAGATATTTCATGACCCAACTAGGGAACATCATCAGTGTTAGAATGTAGAATCGCAGAGTTGGAAGGGACCTTTGCAGGTCATCTAGTCCAACCCCCTGACCAAGCAGGAGACCCTACATCTGGCCTCTACCTAGGACCGAACTCACAACCTCCTGACTGGGAGGCAAGAGCTCCACCTCTAGGCCACAGCACCACCCAAAGGGAGGAGGAGGAGGAGGAGGGAAGGAAGGAGGAAGAGGAAAGGAAAAAGGAGGAACCAGAGGCGAAGAGGAGGGGAGGAGGAAGGGGAGGAAGAATAAGAGGAGGAGGAGGAGGAAGACTCTGGGGTCCCTGGTGCTCTCTGAGTTGAGTGGTTTTCTTGAAGACGTTTCCTGACCCAACTAGGTAACATCATCAGTGCTTTGCAGGGATTTGTGGGGGGGGGAAGAGGAGGAGGAAAGAGACTGTCAGGTCCATGGTGCTCTGTGAGCTGAGTGGTTTTCTTGCATTGATGATGTTACCTAGTTTGGTAATGAAATGTTTGCAATAAACCCCCCACCAAGGACCGCACAGTTCTTTTCCTCCTCCTCCTCCTCTCTACAACCCCCTTCTTCTAGCACAGGTGATGTTACCCAGTTGGGTCATGAAATGTTCGCAAGAGACCCCACAGTCTCCTTTCTCCTCCTCCTCTTTTCCACAAAACCCCACCCTCTTCTTCCCCTGGTGATGTTGCCTAGTTTGGTAATGAAACGTTTGCAAGAAAACCTCCAAGCTCAGAGAGCACCAAGGACCCCACAGTTGCCCTCCTCCTCTTCATCTTCCTCCTCTCCCCTGCAAACCCCCCTCCCTTCTAGCACTGATTATGTTACCTGGTTTGGTACTAATGAAACCTCCAAACTCAAGAGAGCACCCCGACATCTCCCACAAAGAGAAGCAATGGATGAAGCTTCGTTTGGCCTCATTTCTCCAGGATCTTCTCAATCAATATTTTCATGAACTTCTTTCACAGTTTTAAGGATTAAATGCTACGATTATGCACTCCGGATCAACGATGACCTCACCTTAAAATGCATTCGATCACACACAGACACACACCCCCCTCAAAAAATAATTTTTAGAGCTCGCCATCCAGCAGGCTCCCTGGCGTCCTTCGTGATTAGCTGCTGATTATTTCATGAGACGAAGTCACTTCCAGCCATAAAAATGTTCTCCCAAATGCAGGAGACGTCTTAGGCCAGTCCAAAACGTGGACGTTTGTGTCGTGAGAATTTGAAATGGATGCAGGCCAGAATGTTAGAAATAAACTCCCTAAACTTAAGACAGGCGGTTTAATTATTTTGTTAATGTGTTGTTGTTTTTTTTGTCCGAGACAAAAATCCATCAGCACAAAGAGTCTCTCCAAAGCATCCAAAAATTAAGACTTTCACTTAACCAAAATAATCCATGCAGCTGTGCAGCGTCTCCTTTGCCAAGTTTTCAGGAAAAGGTTTTTCTTAGGGTTTTTTTGGGGTGGGAGGAAGAGGGGATGAACTAGTCCAAACTCAGGACTTGAGGGATATATTTTCATCCCACAAAATGCTATTACAAGCCAGAGATTTTTCAATTTATACAAGTAGTCCTCAACTGACAACCATTTGGAGTTACAATGGCACCCAAAAAAGTGACTTAGGACCTATTTTCATACTTATGACCATTGCAGCATCTCCATGGTCACCTGAACAAAATTCAGATGCTTGGCAACTCATATTTATGACGGTTGCATAAATGATCCCCTTTTGTAACCTTCTGATAAGCAATAGAGAAGCCAGATTCACTTAAAGAAGGTGTGACTAACTTAACCATTGCAAAGATTCACTTAACCACTGTGAGAAAAAAAAAAGGTCGTAAAATGGAGCAAAACTCACTTAACAAATGTCCCACTTAGCAACAGAAATTTTAGACTCAATTGTGATTGTTAAGTCAAGGAAAACTTGCAGTGGGAAACTCTTTTTTTTTTTTTTAATTGTAAAAGTTTTACAATTACATTTTCACCCCATTTTCGCCCCCCTAACCCACCCCAAACTCCCCAACCCACCCTCCCTAACCCCCCCTAACCCTCCCCTCCCCCCGGACTTCCATAGAATATACCCCATCATTATCCCCTTTATATAAAAAACCTTGAGCTTTAAACCCCCCCAACCCCCATATCATTTTTCAGTGGGAAACTCTTAATAACTGAGCCCAAGCTGGCTGAAACGATAAGAAGCCACAAACCTGGTCGACAAACCACAAGTGGGCTGGTTCACACAAACACAAACGCAAAGAAAAATGAACAGGCCACATTACAACATTTCAGTCCAGCGTAGGAACCAGGAGGCACCCAAATTTCTTCAGGTAATCTTTGCAGCAAGGCAAGCTCTTGCGACACAACACAAGTGCCTCGTTTGTGGCCTGAGATTTATGCGCTTATGCTAACCACACAAATAGGGACCCGCCAATTCCTGACCAACAATGACAACACAGCACAAGAGGTAAAAGACCTCCAAGATATACCAGTTGGGTCTAAGCCAATGTTTTTCAAATTTCCAAGTATCCAGTCATTTTATCACACAACAATCTTGCAAGGCAGTTTAGTTGCGTCAAAGCTGGGTGCGTGCAACATGCTGAGTTCACAAGCCCTTGCCGTGCATAAAACATGCTCTTCCTACCCCCAAAAGGGTCACCTGGCTGCAATTTCCCCCACCCACCCTCAATCCTGATAGGTTCCCTTAATGTAGGGCTCTCCAAACTTGGCAACTTTTTAAAACTTATGGACTTCAACTCCCAGAATTCCCCAGCTAGCGTGGCAACCAGGGAATTCTGGGACTTGAAATCCACAAGTTTTAAAGCTCCCAGGTTTGGAGGCCTCTACCTTAATGGACCACACTCCTGTTAACACAGCCTAATGCGCTGGGTTTGGGGCATAGCTAGCTGGCTGGGGGATTCTGGGAGTTGAAGTCCACCCCTCTTAAAGGAGCCAAATTTGTAAAAAAAAAACAAACTAGTTTAAGCCATGCACAGGAACTTGGTTGGTTGGATCAGTGGCAGGATTTTTTTGGGGAAAAAAATCTATTCCGCTCCATGAAAAAGGGGGTAGGAAACAGAGACCTCAACCCACTTCCAGAAGGATGCAACTACAAGCCCCATGTTCAGCTGCTAGTGCGGACTACCCAGCCTGCTTAAGAGAAGTGGTGTGAAAGCATCTGGAAAGCCAGACCAAAATAAATAAATAAATGAATGAATGCCTGGTGTTGCGGTCACACACGCACTCTCCCCCCATCCCCACAGGCCCACTCCGTGGGGCTCCCCTTCCCCATTTCCACCTCCCAAGGAAAGCTGAGTCCCCAGATTGTCATCGTGCTAGAAAGCTTGTGGCTCCGGTTGGGAGATTTGAAAGGCCGGGTAAGGGACTGGTCATCTTGGAGGAGGCCTTTCCAGTGTTTCACACCCTTGGCAGTTTTAAGATGGGTGGGTGGACTCCAACTCCCAGAATCCCCCACCCAGCATCCTTTAAGGATAGACTCCAACTCCCAGAATCCCCCACCCAGCATGCTTTAAAAGAAAGGGGCTCCAACTCCCCAAATCCCCCATGCTTTAATATAAATGGACTCCAACTCCCAGAATCCCCTACTCAGCATCCTTTAAGGATAGACTCCAACTCCCAGAATACCCCATGCTTTCAATGAAAGGGACTCCAACTCCCAGAATCCCCCACCCAGCATGCTTTAAAAGGGACTCCAACTCCCACAATCCACCACCCAGCATCCTTTAAGGATGGACTCCAACTCCCAGAATCCCCCACTCAGCATGCTTTAAAAGAAAGGGACTCCAACTCCCAGAATCCCCCACCCAGCATCCTTTAAGGGTGGAGTCCGACTCCCAGAACCCCCCAGCCGCCATCTTGCTGTGAGGGGCGGACTCCAACTCCCAGAATCCCTCAGCCTGCTGCGCGGGGCATCCTGGGCGTTGTAGTCCGGCCTTGTGGAAGCCGCCTGAGGGGCCTCCCTCAATCCCCCTCCCCTCAGGGAGGATATGTGGGGGGGGGGTTTGTCTCCCAGGCTCCCTCCCTCCCTCCGCCCAGACCAGGCCCGCGTGGCCTCCGGGCCTTCCCCTCAGAGAGAGAGAGAGAGAGAGAGAAGGCCTCCCGCCCGCCCAACATGGCGCCGGTGTCGGCGGGGAGGCCTGGCCGGGCTGAGGCGAGGGGGAGAAGGAAGGCCCCCCCTCACTCGCCCCCCCCGCCTCCTTCTCCCCCTCCCCCTCCTGCCCCCCCGCCGCCCCTCCCCCCTCCCCCTCAGACCTGCTGCTGCTCCGTGTCCGTCTGCGGGCGGGGGGGCCGCGGGGGGGGCGCCTGGCTGGCCCGGGGGGCGGCCCTGGCCGTAGAAGCAGAGCGGCGGGGGGGGCGCCTCCATCGGGCACCGGCCGCCCTTCCGCCTGCTCGCCCGCCCGCCCCCGGCTGCCTGGCGCGGAAGGGAGGCCGCCGCCGCCGCCACTTCCGGCCCCGCCCAGCCAGGCAGGCAAGGGAGGGAGGGAGGGGGGCTGTTCCTCTTTCCTCCTCCTCCTCCCCCCGAGCGCAAGCCACGCCCACGGCCCCGCCCAGGTAGGCAGGCGAGGGACGGAGGGGGTTGCTCCCTCTCTCCTCCTCCCCCACCAATAGGGCGCTTCCCGAGCGCAAGCCACGCCTACGGCTCCGCCCAGGCAGGCAGGCGACGGGAGGGGCTGCTCCTCTCTCCACCTCCTCCTCCTCCCCCCGAGTGTAAGCCACGCCCACGGCCCCGCCCAGGCAGGCGAGGGAGGGGAGGGGTTGCTCCTGTCTCCTCCTCCTCCCCCCAGGGTTCTCTCCGAGCGCAAACCACGCCCACGGCCCCGCCCAGGCAGGCAGCCAGGCGAGGGGAGGGGCTGCTCCTCCTCCTCCTGCCCGGCCCAAGGAAAGGGCGCTTCCCGAGCGCAAGCCACGCCCACGGCCACTCCCCCTGACACGCCCCCGGCGGACGTGGACAGCGGGCAGCGCTGCAGCCAAGGAAAAGGGGCGGGGATTCCCGAGTCCATGGGCGTGGTCGTCCCTCCCCCTTTGCCAAGGGGATGGGGTGGGACTCCCCAGCCCATCGCTCCCCACTGGGGATGGATGGAGGCGGATGGGCCCAGGGGTCCATCCTCTCTTTTAGGGGGCTCTGGCTCTAAGCCCCCCCCTTCCATCCCAGACGATGCAATGGGACTCCCAAGCCCATCGCTCTCCTCCAGGCTGATGGGCAGGGCAGTCCTTCTACGCCTGGGGTGCACTGTCCAAGACCCCTCCCCAAAGTCCAGGAGGATGGGACGGGACTCCATCAGGAAGGGGAGGGTGGCTGATGGACACGGCGGTCCTTCTACTTTGGCGTGAATTGACTCAAAGCCCCTTCTCCATGGTCCAAGAGGATGGGATGGGACTCCCATACCCATCGCTCTCTGCCGGAGAGGGATGGGAGGCTGATGGGCTCAGCAGGCCTTCTACTTCAGGGGCACCGGTTTCAAGCCCCCTCCCATCCCAGACAATGGGACTCCTCAGACCATCCCTCTCCACTGAGAATGGAGGATGATGGGCATGGTAGTTCTTCCTTGACACCAGCTCCAAAACCCCTGCCCATTGTCCAGGAGGAGGGGATGGAACTCCCATACCCATCACTCTGCCGGAAAGAGGAGGGAGGCTAATGGGCATGGCAGTCCATCTCCTTAGGGGGCGTCAGTTCCAAGCCCCTTCCCCATTTTCCAGGATTGCATGGGACCCCTGAGCCCACAGCCCCCCACGGTGAAGGAGAGACTGATGGGCATGACAGTCCTTCTCCTTTAGGGACGCCGGATCTAAACCCCCTCCCCGTTTTCCAGGGGGCAGTGTGGACTCTCACACCCATTGCTCCCCACCACGAACCATGGAGGCTGATGGGCATGGCGGTCCATAAATTATAACGTTCTTTATATAAAAAAGCTCCTCCGTTGCTTTTAAAAACAGTCTTGACTCACTTCCACACTGTGAGGTCCTCGACTTACAACCCCAATGAGGCCAAAATTTATGTTGCTAAGTGAAACGTTTGTTAATAAGTAAATTTTGTTCCTAGTTTACGACCTTCCTTGCCACAGTTGTTAAGTTAGTAACATATTTGTTAAGTGGGCTTCCCCATTGACTTCGCCTGTCCGAAGGTCGCAAAAGGGGATCACATGACCAGGGGACACTGCGAGCGTCATAAATACGAGTCAATTGTCAAATGTCTGAATTTTGATCACGTGACCATGGGGGATGGCTGTGACGTCTGTGAAGTGTGAAAAATAAGTCACTTTTTTTCAGTGATGTAACTTTGAACAGACACTAAATGTTGTTAAGTCGAGGACTACCTGTACAGGTAGCCCTCGACTTATGACAATAGGAACCTGCATTTCCGTTGCTAAGGACAGCGGTTATTAAGTGAGCCGTAACCCGATTTTACAACCTTTGACTGGCAGGGGGGTTCTGGGAGTTGGAGTCCATCCATCCTAAAGTCCCTGGTCTTGAAAGGTACAGAGCCAAGAAAAGCCTACGGTTGAAAGGCAAACTCAACGATGCCATGATGGTGACCGAGAAACTCTTGTTGTTTTTTGGGGAAAAAAAGTTTTTTTTATTTTTTAAAACATAAACATAAAACACATCTTTTCCAAATTGAAGCATTGATCCGGTCACAAATTAATTTTTTTTATTTATTTTTTATTTTATTTGATTTATATGCTGCCCTTCTCCGGAGACTCAGGGCGGCTTACAAGGCGTTAAGCAATAGCCTTCATTCTTTTGTATATTTATACAAAGTCAGCTTATTGACCCCCACAAACTGGGTCCTCATTTAACCTACCTTAGAAAGGATGGAAGGCTGAGTCAACCTTGAGCCTGGCGAGATTCGAACCTGCAGTAATTGCAGGCAGCTGTGTTAATAACAGGG